TTTCCAACAAAAGGCTAGAGGCGATCGTGTGAGTATTATAAATCGGAGAATGAAGACTGAATACTTGTTCATACTTTATCACAAATATCGCTAAAATACGTAGCTATGAAACGGACATAAACTGCGTTTTTTCACATGTTTATAATAATAAAATTACGTTCGCGGTCTCAAATGAGTAAGTCGGTAACATGTTGACTACAACATGTCTACTTATTTCTATTTATAAATATAAAATGCCACGTTCAGATTTATTAGTTTGACTCTCTGTTCAACAGAATAATTTGACTTGCAATCTAACCGCGTCTCATCGCGTCGTGTTCTACATACTAGTAGGTCCCGCGCGAAATATACAGGGTGTGTTAATTTCATTTACAAGCATAACCCCTCTGCTTTGGTTCACAAAACCACTGCCGTCGAACGTAGATAGACAGACGGACAAAATAATGAATAATTAATTACACTTACCACATATTTATTATTAAAAAATGACAAATTGCCCTGTATTCAAAACCTGTCGAAGGTGCCAAATTGTTTTTATCATAAACGTCAGCTGGCGAGCTAAGCCTGCTTCTATTGTTGTTAGATCAGATAAATTAATACGGCAAATGAACTGTGCTGTCTATTTACTTGCAAACATTGTATTATATGTACAACGAGTTATGTTTGTTCACACAGTGACGTCATGATTGTTGACATGTTGAGCAGGTTTATTCACGATTACAAACTAGTTATTTAATAAGTGTATGATTTTCTAAAGTACAATATAGTTTTTAATGTCAGGTTCAATGTTAAATAAAAAGTTAAGCCCACAAACCATGTATGGATTAAAGTATATGCCACGTGGCAGGTTTGAAGTCGTATGTATGCAGTCAGTAATTTCTAATTTCCCCAGGCTTAAAATTGCACTCCGGTGTTTATTCCCCAAAGTTGCGAAATATTTAATGGTATTTAACGGAATCCAGACACACAATCAAATAGGAAGCCGAAACCATCGCCAACACACGGACGTCCGACAGTCACTGACCAAAATACTAGTACTCCCATGTGCCGAGGGTATTGGAAGCATGATGAATTTTACTGACACTTCAAACTGTTCAGAGACAAGCTATTGTAAGACACCCCGACAGAATGAATGAACTCTCCTACAAATGTTGCTCCATCCTAATCTTGTTTGTAAATTTATTTTTTTAAATATAAATTTAAGTTACCATTCTGATTCAATCGAGTGACACTTATTGTGTTGACTAGTTTCCCCATTGTTTAGAGATTGATTAGTTTCCAAAATTCTGTATTATTATTGCCATGTTATTATGAATTTTATTCATTAATTCGTTTACTTATTTTTGTGACCTGTTTTCAAATACTATGGTTACATTAGTTAGACGAACAGTTAATATGATGTCACCATTCGGGGACAAAAACAAGTTTCGTCACCGATATGGAGGACTGCAATATTCCACACGTGACGTTACTCTGATTCAGTGTCAGCGATGAATGTTTGCGAGATCGTGGTATTTAGATGAAGCAACCTCCAGTCATTACCTATGTAGCAAGGCTTGGTCTATCGTATATTCAACAGAAGAAGCCCTAAATTGACATTTGTTTACTGTTCGCAATTATGGGTTCCATATAAAGCAGGAAACATCTCAAAAAACTGGAAAGAATCGAAAGACACTACATCCACAGAATCTCCGGTATTGGACAATTATTAATGTGACAGATTAAAATAATTGGAAATAATTTCCCAACGAAGAAGAATGAAGCGATTAGTATCACTTTTGCGTGGAAAATAATGACCAACAAAGCTCCTAATCTAGAATTTCTTTCATTTAGCAGCCCATACAAGGAGATTATGCAAGATCTCTAGCCTATGCTAAGTCTAGGAAAGTAATTAAATCACTCAAGACCACCAGCTTTATAGTCGCTTAAACCGCTCAGTAGTTTGATAAATCATAATCAGGGCACCCGCCTTCAAACACAAACACTTCAGTGAAATCCTATACCAACCACTAGTATCTGGATATACCAGTCAAATGTGACCGTGGACATGGTGAATTATCCCAGCAGCTGAACACGATAGTCTTTTTTAGAGTGGAGTCAACCTCTTGGCCTGAGCACGTGGTTCTCAATCGCAACGCGATCTGGACGGCCATTTTTTGTGAGGAAATGATTGAGTTTAATTTGTATTTTGGTTATTTCAGTTTTCAGGCATAATTTGTTGTTGTATAAAATCAAACTATTATTATCAATTTTTTTTATTCCTGACTTTTTTGCCAGTTTAATCAGTGAAATAAATTCTATGCAATGCAATAAAACATTTAGTACATGTATGTATATCGTGCAGGTATGTGTATTACCAGCTTAGTAAAAAGAAAACAAAGTATTCATTATACAAGCGACCTCATCGTCTAAATAGCTCTGCTGTCTTGGAAGAGTTTCTTCCTCTCAACAACGTTGATAATGTTCTATACAAATGAGGTATTAGCTATTTGTCGTTATTGTTACTTACCACATTATTTTTGCCATATCAAATCTGTCCAACAGTGGTAGTAGTTGCTATAGCAATGACAATTATAATCATCCTGTTACAAACCAAACAAAGCAACAACTTATGTCAGCTGTTTTTGAAAGCATTCGAAAATAGCATATTATAATAGCATAGCAAAAAAGGACAAAAATGGAGAATAGAAGATGTCAAATCTGACATGTCTACTGTCACAGGTGTGGGATTTATTTCGATCCGTACACGTAAACCACGTTCACGAACTCTCGCACAATGAGGACATCATAGTAAAGAATACCATATTTATACAAATAGAACAAAATAACTAAAGTAGCACACATAAAGGTTATAGTTCTGAGTCATGGGTTCAGTACGTAATTGTTTGGTTAAACACAATCTTACTTCCCGAACTCTACAGTCTGATCTCTGAAATTAACTCTAGACTGGCTCAGCTGTGGTAATTTTCTTCAGTTAAAAATTATAATAATAAATAAATACAGAATAACTACAGAATCAACATTGATTGGCAGCCTCTATGACAGTACATTGCCATGGAAACACACGTACGCAGACAGACCCATAAGTCTCGAACACACTTAAGACTATTCATTAGTGATTTTTTTCATTGATTTTCAAATTTAACCTAAAACTAAACAAGTCTGTGAATTGTCCCGGGCACCTATGTACAAAGTTTCATTTAAAACGATAGAATAGCGGAGTAGGTAAGTAATCAGATTCATTGACATAAGATGATTAGTATTGAACAATTGATGGAAAAGCTGAAACTGACTAATTGTTATGCAAATTAGGTGGGTAATATTCACAGATTTCAACCCAAAACTGAACAGGCCTGGGCATGGTCCTTGATTATCTATATACCAAGTTTGACTAATCTCACTGTTTTTCTAAATTCCAGGATTTTAACCTAAAATATAATGACGTCGTACTAAGTTCACAAAAAATCACTACTTAATATGTAAATTGGGTAACTGATATATACACAGATTTTTGGCCCAATACTGAGCAGGTCAGTGCAGGTCTTAGAGCACACATATACCTAGTTTCATTGAAATATGATAATGAGTACTTGAGATATCAGTAGAAAAACACAAAATGACTGATTATTATACAAATTAGGTAATTATTATGCACGAATTTTACACAAAGCTACTCACGTCTGCGCACTTTCATTGTTTCATTGAAGTTTCATCGAAATCTTACCAGCGGTTATTTACATACGCACATACATACAAACATTGTTTGCCAAACAGACTGGAGTCAACAAATTAGAGGTTTAGTAGATATTTCCTGAGATTCGCACAATTTAAGAACATTAAAATGCCACATAAGTCACATTTCATGTAAACAAACAAATTATGTTAATATACAGGTTGCCTACATTGCATGGGAACCACACCGAACACGGCGCTCTACCTACAGTGACTGCACTATCGAACAATTGGTGATTTACTACATTTGTTTCAAAGGGCCACAGTGTCGCTTTCGGTACGATTCTCGCGAGACGTATACAAGGCGCGTAAAATAGATTGCATGAAATTAGAAAGAGATGCGATGTGTTTGAGTTACGGGCATCAAGTTACGAAAACATCAAATTACAAAAATTACCACGCCCACTTTCGAAAAACCACGCCCTAATTTTATTAAACTTGAACTTTAATTAACAGAAAACGGAACATTCAAATTTTGTAATTCGAATTTTCATTATCAGTTAACAACCTTGAACGAAACAAAAATGATATGTTGCCCGTAAGTTCGGTTAACTGTTAATTAAAGTTCGAGTTCCTAAATGTGGACGTTCAACAAAAACAAAAATACATGTTGCCCGTAACTCGAAGCTCTATTAACTGTTAATTGAACATCGAGTCACAGAGAGGGCGTGGCTTCTCAAAAGTTGGCGTGGTTTTCAAATATGGGCGTTATCGTACCTCGATGTTCGTAACTCGAACAATTCGGCATCTGAATTAGAACGCGCGCTGCGTAGTGACTGTCGCGTTTTAACAAATGTCATCATGTCACTCAGGACCCCCTCATAAGATATATTCTATAGATGTTTCACATTATAATTTCGTTCATCTTTTTCTAAATTCCAAATTCGAAACCACTAATCGTGCGATTAATTAAAATATAAAATGACGACCACAAGGTTCTTCGCTCGAACAATCGGTTAAATAATATAATAACTAGTAAGATTTTTCTGATGGTATTTTTGCCATGGAGTCAATATTTACATTATTTGAATGAAAAAAAATGACAATTAAAGCACACTAATTTTCCAAAATGTTATCATAAATGAAAATAATGGAATTGAAGACAACAGCATGTGCCTCATTCACGTCACAGTAAATAAGCTAATAGTAAAGTAAAATGTGGTTTTAGTTATTCTAACATATTTTTGTACTGCACATTATGCAACACGAATGTCGTAAATGGCTACTTTTTTTGTTCAATGATATATTCATAGACGGGTTGTCACACATTAACAGTTTTTACCAATCCATGTGAAGTTCTGTTTAACCAAGGTCGCCAGTGCTCTGTCGAACGGACTGTAAAACTCGCATAATCTTTTTTTGGCCCACTCTTTTAATTCAGGATGTTCCCGTCCTTTCGAGCTTGGCATGCAGGTCATTTGGGGAAAAGCCATACAATACTGTCCTTTAACGCTGTCTTTGCGGAAATGTTCTTCGCGGAAAAAAGGCCGCACACCGAGAAACTTTTCTACTTTCTGTAATTCTTCTGCCGGATTATTTCTGAAATTGTCGCCGTCAATGAAATGAATCTGGCTTCGGGGGAATTGTTCTAACCATCGGAAGAGATATTTGACGTATATGCCCACGTCGACCATTTCATTGTGTGTGTTCACGTTGTCAGGGCGTGCCTGCTCAAATACCGTGCTCTCGATGGATTCGGCAAGCGTTTTCCTCTGCATGTAGTCTTGCTCCGCCTTGTCCGTTTTATTAATAAACTCAACGTAATCTGACACTATTCGCCGTACTGGGTCGCATAAAATAACTAGAATACGTACATTAGATGACAAGGTTTGGCGGATGCGTTTAGGCGCATCGAACGGTCGGAAATAATAAGTTGGGGTCTTCTCTATAGTCATCTGCAAACGTGAGGAGAACGGCATCTGCTCTCGATACCATTGCACTCCATGCTCGGTTAGCGAATCAAAGTAGTGGGTCTCGTCTTTCGGGCCAACTAAATGAGGATGGAAGTTCAAAAATCTGAGAAGCGTACCAGTGCCGCATTTGCGCACTCCTGCGATGACGACTTCAGGCAAACGTCGCACGCAGCCCCGACGTTTCATCTCGTCAACTTTGAGCAACTTGTTGAGTCGATAGATTGGATGTGTTGGGTAATAACACGATGTTTTCCATCTCTCGACCATGTAACGCTTGGCGTCAAAACTGGCATCCCACGTCGTATAGTCGTCGGAAACTACTCCATGAACATATTCGCTATCATTCAGCAAATTTGTAAGAGAGGACTTCTCCGCTAGTAGACTTCTAGTCGTCGCTCTGTCACCCCGTGGTGATTTCGCCATACTCACTACCAGCGCTAAGCATGTAAAAAGTGTTAAATATCCAAGAGCCCATTTGTAAAACCCTCTTCGGGAAAATGCCCTGTGCAATGAGTCTTCAACCTTTTCCTTGATTAGTGACGCGTTTTGTAAAATCACAGTCGCAAGAGACGCCTGAGGTCTGTCCATCTTCCCTTGTAATGACGATGTCCGCAGCTGTCGAGTCTGTGCGAAATGTGGTTATTTTGATATAGCTGTGACGGAGAACTATTCGGTGACAGCTGTCATCGTTTCCTCCTCTTGAATGCACAGAAGGGAAATTCGATCCATTAATTGTAGTATCAACGTTTGACCTAAAAAAAACACTCAACAATAATGCATGAACTAAATAGCCAATATATAGCCAGTCATTAGCTGTATTGAACATTCAGATGCAGAAAACGTCACCGATTCACTTGCGCGGCCGGGAAACTTACAAGATAACGTTCGCGCTAATGGCTGGTTACACAGCACGTACGAAGCGCACAATTTGAATACGTAAACAAATGCGCAACCAGGTCGGCAGATGAGTATATGACATCAAATCCTGTCAAGTAGTAAGTATAATAAATGTATCATTGTACAGTACGCACCCTGTATCGTGCCAGGTTGTTGGACACTGCGTTGTAGTGCTTGCCGGTGATGTAACGGCAACAATTATTTTTCCGTAATTACGTAAATAACGCCCAAAAATTATTGCCGTCAGAAACGGCTCGTTCGTGAAACCGGAAGTTCCAGAAAGTTAACGGGCATACCGCACTAATCGGCATCTGTTTTTTTTTATTTTGTTGATTCAGACGACTATACATATATCAACATTAACGGTATCGCAAACAAGAGTAAACAAATAAACCTCGCAACGCCGTAATTACGAGTGCGAATTTGCTCCATCACTCGCTGTATCTATTTGCGCTCTGTGCTAATTCCAAAGCTCATTTTTATTTTACCACGATTGCAAGTACAACGTTTCGGGGATTGTTTTGCACTTGTACACGGTTTTTGATGTTTTAATGTTATTTTCATGTCTGAGAATGATATTGAAAATGATGTTGATATAGTCGTGTAGCTCGTGTGTAAATGTCGTGAATTACTACAAACTTTCGTGGCATATACTCACCCGTGGCTGTGTTTTATTTCTTAATTTACTAAGCATCCAGTTATAAGTAGATTTGTCACCAACATATGACAATTATTCACCTTGGCTGTGTCTCGGTGAGTGAACAAAAATGTTACATCGATTAGGAAGACAAATCTGTATATACTATAAAATGACTAATTTTCACTGGGTTTAAATTTCGCTGATTTACCATTTCAGGCATATTCAGTGGGTTTTAAATTCACACTTTTATCATTTAGATAATGTGTTCTGTGCTAAATTTTACATATTCACTGGGTTTTAATTTAGCGCATTTTCCTGTCAGCGAAATAAGCAAAATTAAAACCCAGTGAATAATTAATCCTTTTACAGTACCCCCCTCAGTTGCAGTTAATAATCAATTGAGGGCGCTGTCACTGACATATTGGCCGGTTCGAAATTCAGAGCAAAATATTACTTTGGGTCAAGATTAGCACGAAAAGCTAATCCTTACACTACAGGAAGTCCACCGGTAGCTCCGCGCAATAACAGACAATCACAAGTATTGCTAAGATGCCGCCGCAGTGTCCCAAGGTACATTAAAGTCTGCCCATTTTCCTCATTTATGCACACGTTTTTATGCAAATATTCCAGAGAAATAATCGGTTCACATACTAATATAGAACGCAACCAATGAATTTCAATTATTCAAATATACGATATGAGACTATACCAATATATTTCAGGGTAGAGCAGGTCATCACCAACTCCATGACACAAAAATACCCATCGAGACGCATAGTTACTAG